TCCCCCATTTTCTTACAAATTCGCCTACCTTTTTTGTGAGAAGGCATGACGGCAAAATTAGGACATGGTACAAGGTCTCAATCTGTCTATCTTTGACTAAATGTTCTCAGTTTGAATATTTATTCCTCAGTAAAGAGATATTATTCTCAATAAGGCTCAAAGGATAATTATTTTCCCGGAATAAATTTGTAAGCCATTCCAACTCTTTAGTCAAATGTTTCCTATCCACTAGCCTCATACTTCTAATAATCATTGACTTCAAGATTCCAACTATGATTGGAAAGAAAATTAAGCAAAGAGCTACGTATGTTTTGGCTTTCTATAAAAATCTTTTCCTAATTTACCCTCTTCTCTTACTCCAGAAGGAGTAAGAACTTATTCTCTTCCATTTTCATTCTGAACTTAATGTTCCTTTCACGCTGATTCAGGGAAAGAAGGAAACGATCTAAACTTTCCCTTCCATGAGGCTAGATGCCAAAATAGTCTTTAATGTACCTAACCAACAATTTGGGGGTTAATATTGCTTCTTGCAGGAAGTGTTCCTCCAGTCTTGCCATAAAATTGTTCGCCAAGATGGGAGCCAGGCAGGATCACATCGCTAGTCCTTGTTTTTGTTCATACAACTTACCATCGAAGGTAAAATATGTGGTACTCATGGATAGGGTAATAAGTCTAATAATGGAAGTTACACTCAGCCTTATTCCTTGTGTTATCTCTGGATGCTCCTCCAGAGTTTGTATCAGAGCTTGAATAGCCCGTTTTGACTCGAAACGAGGGAAAAGGTCTCGTTGACTGCGTCAACCTGAAAGCGGTATAAAAGCCAAACGTCTTCAGTACAACGGGATTCATCTGTCCTCTTCTGGTGTGATCGATCTACGAATCCCTTATTACTGCACTTTCATACGAAATGAAAGTCCCTCCAACAATGTTATCTCAGGAGATTCATCGAAACCTGGTTTCTCCACATTTTTTTGTCCTCACTTTTCCCTCAATATCTATTCATATAACTTTTTTATATTTTTCTTTTTAGAGTGAGCAGCAACGCTTATTGTTAGAGAGGCGTGTATTCGAGCTAGAGAAGCAATTAAAAAAGACATCTTCACATTCTGGTTGCTCAGCTGCAGTGGCCGCACAAATTAGTGCTACTATGGAAGTTGAAGTCAGTCAGGATTCATTCCAACGTCTTTCCGCTGAGCTCATTCACCAAAAAGCCGCTTTGAATGAGGCCGAAGCAAAGCTTGCAGAGCAAAAAAAGCGGCTAGATGAGGCCAATAAGGTGGGTTCCATTTTATCTAATGGATACCAGGACTCTTCTGTAATCTCCCATTTCTTATTTCTCGCCTATCCATCTTTCCATAAATTAGTCGAAGAATTTATACTTTACTAAAACTTTCTTAGGCCTCTTCCTTATTTCTAGTTATTAACACTCAGGCTCGTAAGGCTTATCAACCGGCTGCTTGTGCCTGATATTCTTGGCAATAAAGAGGACATCGTATGTACAAAAAAATTAACTTATCTGGAAGCAATTAATGTTTTCATGTATGTGTGGCTTCTTAACTGCCGCTTGCACCTGTCACCAAGGTGCTCACGACCCGACTTTGAATCCCGTTGATTTTAACATAGGACTCAGACAAGGCTGAAATCACGATCCAGTGTGGGTGGGAGAACCTTTT